CTATATGGCAACCACTATAACTGTTAAATGACGCTATTTTTTTGTTTCATATTTTTTGTAGCTAATTCTATAATTATAATTGTAAAACATTGTTTTTAAATTCATATGTTACACTTTTTCAGAACAYGAACTGCCTGCGGGAGTGAATACACGTAAACAAGTTTAACTACCTGTATTTGAGAATAATTTTATTCTCRGATGCCCGTATAATGTAGTAATAATGATAAAATATTATTCAATATTATAATATCTGTTATGCGTTTTAAAAAAATCAACAGCACCGGCACAAGATATATTAAAATCGTCAGATCTAACAAAATATATATTTGTTATACCTTTAGAACTGCACTAACAACAATGAATTCCCCAATKTTAAAAATGCAAATCTCGTGGTTACGCCATACTCATAATGTATTAATGTTATTATAGCTGTGTCCAACGTGGTGATAGCTATTTTACTACATCGAGTATAAAATCACGTGAGACTCTAGCAGTCCTTCTATTTGCGCAGTATATACAACCAACCTGTAAATTATAAGGGATGAACGTATCATGTACTTTTTCCCAAAGTACTCCAACTACGACGTCGACATTCTATACCAATTCTAAACACACCAACGTGTAACATCAGCAACATTCTCAACACTCCCATCTCCATCCGCAGTATCGCAGTCAATTAGCAAGTATTTTGTACACACCACAAACACTCATGCTCGAACTTACGCTTGCTGCTTGTGTCTATGTGACAAGTAACAACCACACAAAATGAGAACTGCATTTTTAACTTAATGAAATTAAATCTATAATTAATCTATTCCTCGGCAATCTATCCACTGTTACTAACTGATCGAATCCTAAGATGACACATAACTCGTAATCGTAAAGTGTTCTCATCTCATGGAAGGCTACTGGAAATTACAAAATAAGGATAAAAAACAGTGGTGTATAAGGTAATGTAAATCATTGCTTACACATAAAGTACCTATATAAATTTAGTAAAACTAATACCAGGACAAATTACATGTCATATTAGGAGCCTTTATCGTTTCATGTACTAATTTATTTTCATCTATTAAGCTTATTGTTCAGTTTCTGCAGTGTAACAAATGCCTTGACTAAAAATTGTTAAATATAAACTTAAATATTGCCTATAACTTCATAGACAGATAATAGTTTTTTTTCTTTGTAATATGTTATATATACTTTTAAAAAACGTCAAATCTCAATTTATATTATATACTTTCTATCAATTTTTTCTCAACTGTACACGTACACTACAAATACGAGTCCCAAGACGCTATTATATTGAGGAGACATTTCTGATCTAGTGTCTTGACTGTAATTGACGAAAGCGTTCCGCGTAGGTAATCGATTCGATGATATTATCATATATATATATTTAAGTGCAAAATGCGAATCGATAAAAAGAAAGACGGCTCTCTTTACTCGTGACAACCGAGGAAGTGTACCTACCTACCTATATAAAGACGGAACATTTATAACTAGTAATAAATAACAAACAACAATAATGTAGTATACTAAAGCCTATATTATATAATTATTCTTCGTACCTGTATTACCTCTGTAAGTTACGCCATGTATAGAGCAGAGAACGTGTGTATAGGGTCGGTTATCATCTTATTCCACGTGTATATAGTAATYAAATWAAATATTATATATTACTATGAATATTAATTATTTTTCGTTATTAACAACCTGCTGTTGTTTATGATTTTGGCAAAAAACTTTCATTACTATTTGCTGTAGATCGGACAAACGATTGTTTTTTATTATTTTTAATTTATGCTACTTAAAAGTTAGTCGTTATTGTATTACATCATTAATTATTATATTACCTATACAATAATACGTACTCGTTCGATAATGTAGGTATATAATAAATGCAGAGTTAGGTAAATATATCATTGCTATAAATTGTTATTTTCTTGGTAAATATATAAAAAAAAATGTTTGTATATTTTAAAATCAAACTTCAAATTCAATGATTATATTAAGTCCTAATTTTAATTTTTTACATACTGATTAGTTAATTATAATTATTTGAAGTTTTGATGAGCTGAATGGTGTGATACAGGGAACCATATAATAATTTATGGGATCCCTAAACAAGTATAACTCTTATTAATTATATACTATTTTACTGGATAAAAATTTAAAGATTTTTCATCGAAATCCTTTTTTTTTCCTTTATTTATATATACATAATCTGTTCCTAAAAGGTACAATAAGAGTATTTGCTATAAGTTAAATAAGTAACATGAGAATTTGATAAAAGAATTTTATGATGACACCCAATGATGACACTTTTAGTATCGAAATCCTAAAAAAAGAATATGAAATAAAAAACATTATAACATTATGTTGTCGTTTTTTTTTTTTTAAATAAATAAACATAAACAATTTAAAAGGATAAAAATAATTGCATACATTCAAATAGTGTAAAAAGCTTTATATTATTTTCCAATTTGCAGAATACTTGATAAAAAAAAAAAAACAAGAAAATATATATTTTGTTGCAAAAACGATGATAGCATTAAGTTTTTTAACAAATTTACTGTCCTAGATGTCTCTAATGTTGTTATTCTAAARTAAATATTTAATCTATTTAAATATTTAGCTGGATTAAAAGACTAGCCGAATATGTTGAGCAGCATAATATTTCCATGATGCATGCTGTACAGGCCATCCTACTATACCTATAACGATATGCATGATTATTGAGTTATTAAAATTTAATATAATGTCCAATCACTCCAATCAATATTACATAATATTATGATCATTTGATTACCTATATAGTAAAAAAAACAATAATAGTATGAGTGTTTTTTTAACCATCCTGTTATCAATATATGTGTGATTTATTTTTTCACTGATATTATAAGTATTGTTTAAACGCTTTGATGTTATCTACAACAGCAATATAAATAAAAATACAAAATTGTTTAGGATTTTAAAATTTTAATACCTAACAGTAAGCGTTGACATATTTTTGAGTAAGCAACCAAGTGGAATATTATATCGCTCAATACTTTTGCCATTTCCAAACATATACAATATCTATTCGTAGGTCGTAACACATAGCCTAGCTGACATAGGATACATATTTATAGACTAGTAATCATTTTAAGAAAATAAAACAATAATAATTTATTTATGTAAAAACTACGGATATTTTTCAGGGTATTTTTTTAAAATTATTGATTTTGAAGAATCCTATCAACTGATTGAATAAGATAAAAATAAGGACTAAAGCTATACGTATAGTTCAACAACTTTTCATACTATACATAAAATACATATTTTTGTCCTGTCCATGGCTAAATATTTTATTACCTAGAATTTTATATATTTCCCATGATCCTCTTTTTCTATCTTCGGAATTTAAAACGATTCAGAACAATTCGATCGTACTTATACYATAATAATAATAAGTCTTATTTTTGTAGAGAACAATAAAGATAAATCTTGTAAGGTTTTAATCGAAATTATCATTGTAAATAAATAATAGGTTAAAGAAAATATTTTAAATTATCATGATCAACAGGCAGAGTTAGAAATCACTTATCAGACTAGAAGATTTTTGATGTACGAATGTGTAATGTAATGCATTATACGAATATGTGCACAGAAATCAGAATGGTTGGTGTTTTTCTATAAAAGGCAGTAAAATTAATTCCTTAACTCTATTTGTTTTCATTCTATAACATACAAATACAACGTTATTGCCAGTTCACTGGTTCCGGTCTAGAACTTTTCGAAAAATAACCATTATACATCTGCACTATCTAATCAGAATATCATATACACCACATTATGACCCAAGTCACGCGCTCTTTATTGTCATAATTGTCAAACAAAACAACATTATGTATAGCACTGTTGTTTGGTTATAATGAAACCACGTTTGTAGGTATATTACAAACGGACAGGGATGAGTATATTTTTTTTTCATAAATCCGATGGTTTTTTTTTCGACATTGTCCATACCATATCCGGTCATCATTTTATAGGTACCTACATCATCGAGAATAACCGGATAAATTATGATATATAATATTATAACACAATCGTTGCATACTAATTGAGTTCCATACCTGAGCAAGGAAATAATAATATACTAATCGAGTGCCGGTATAAAAGAGTAATATGTTACCCATCCAGTCCACGCTTATTGTTAAAATTAAAATTAAATATTAATATAATAGATTTTTTTCAATTTGTATGTGTTGAATATTGTGTATTTCTTTAGGTCAAAACAGAATTACCAACACTGACACACTTTAAACACTGCTAATTAATAAACTAACCGAACCTAAAAAAAATAAATYATGTCAAGACTAAAGAAAACGAAATTTGAGAAAAAGGGAACTAATAAAAGCAAAACTTAAATCAAGATTTGTATACATAAAAGTTTTTCACTTAAGATTTTACCGATAAAAGACATAACGTTTTAAAAATCTCGAAAATCTAAAATATTTTTCTCGTAAATAGTCCTCAGTTAGGAAAATGTTTTTTTTTCAATGTTTGGTGACGTCAGATAGCAATAAAACATTGATGGGACTCTGCAATTAGCATGTAAATTGTAGAGGTGTACTTATGCAAATTTTCAGGGACTCAATTCATTTCATTCCCTAAAAAGTTTTATTGGGTCTCAGTTCATTTGCGACCAATGCATTAATACCGCAACAGGTATAATATAAACCTCATAACCATTACCTTCCATTATATTTCTAGAAGGTTCGAGTGGTTATAATTGGCTAATTGGCAACAGATATTTYGGGCAAATATCACTGACCAAACGTATTTATCCGACTACGGATGATATAGTGACCCTTGCAGTGCAACCTGCTCAAGAGGGGAGGTTTCCGAATCTGCAGGACCCCTCCGTTGGGCGTATTTGAGTTTTCASGTTAATAGTGYTACATCCACAACTATACTATGCGTAGTATTTATCATAAACATTTGCTACGACTTACCTGAAAGCCAGGGCGAGCTTGCATTCCAGATATCGGATCATGGAGTTGAGGAAAGTGGCGGGCAGGGCGCATAGTAGCCACTTGAACAGCATCAGCCCGAAGTTTGGCACGTCTCGGCGGACGATGAACTTGACCATTTTGCCCTCCATGGTGGCCACGAATATGGACATGAACGTACGGCATATCAGGGCCACCGTGTGCATGGACAGCAGACCCACCTCGGGCGTCCAGAAGCCGGGCACCATGAGCCTGAGCAGCTTCTTGAGCTGGATCAGGAACTCGCGGTTGATGCTCGGCCCGGCGGCTCTCGTCCTCTTGCCGGACGACGACCTCTTGCCGCCGCCCACCGCGGCCACGGCGGTGATCGCCGTAGACCCCTTGGTGTTGTTATTGTCGTTGGACTCGCCCGACGGTCGCCGCGAGCCGCCGTCGAGCCCTTTGTCGCCCTTGCCACCGTCTGCGCCGCCTCCGCCGCCACCGCACACTTTCAACACGATCGGGTAACCAATCTTGCAGCCGTACAGCAGTACAGCCGCGGCCAGCACGCCCTTGCTAACATTGTCCCGTCGGATTATCCGTCCGTCCAGGTATTTGGATATGACGGTGGGCATGGTTTCGGTCACAATGGTGTTGGTGGTGTTGGTGGAGGTGATGGAGGTGATGGAGGTGGTGGTAAAACCAAACCGAGCGACAGTTCTCGCGTCTCGTTTACGGGTAAAGAAGTGATGATGGGCTTATTATTGTTGAGGATTACTTATGCGTAATGTGGTCTATTTGGGCAGTGTTCTGATTTGTATTGTTATGATAATGGTAATAGCGACGACTTGTGCGTGTCAAGTCATCTGTGCGACGACCGACAATAAGACAATAATGTTAGAAGAAACGAATAGACGAAGACTCTGCACAAGAACGCACTACAACGAGCGTATATTATAGAGTCGATGAGTGCGATAACATCGGTCAGACATGTGTCGGATTCGAAAATATTTTAATGATATGACATTGAGATTATGACGAGCAAATAACAATATTATATTATTGCAATAACAAATGATAACACAACGATACGACKAACGCGCGCGGCAAGATGTGAAGAAAAAACGGTGATCGCGCGACCGACCAGACTGCGCGCCGGAGTCGACGTTGCTACTGAGCGATTCGGTGCATACGGCGCGTAGTGTGCTTGTGTGTGTCGGGCGCGCTACCTACTCGCCGCGCCGTCTTTTCCGCTGTGGACGAACTGCAGGTGGGTGGCGGCGCGGCGCTGGTTGCGGCGACCGATGCGCGCCCAATACTCGGTACGCGCGCGCGCCAACGTCCGTTTTCCACAAACCTTCCTCACCCGTTCGTCGCAACACCTCGCGCCACACCTCACCATCACCGCGAAATCACCGACCGCGGATGCCGCTTCACCCATCCCCGCCGCCGAGACACCGTATAAAGAGTCGGTCAACTCGTTTTTTATTAGAAGAACGGGTGGTGGTGTCGACTCTTCTTTTGCTGCCTCGTTTGTTATTATTGTTACGTTTTTTTTTTTTTTAAATGTATATAAGTAATATAAAAGACGACTGCCACGGGAAACGATAATCGTGATATTATTATTATTTATTAATATTATGGAAATTTTTTTTTTTTTAATTAACAATTCTGCATAGTTTGTAGTTAGGTTTTCATTGTAATAATATTAATTAACTTTAGATTATCATACGTACCGGCAAGTATAAAATGTATTAATCAAATAAAAATTATCTAGATTACACATAAATACGTATCGTTACGATGAGTAAAGTTCAGGGGCGTATTTGTGTCTGTGTATTGTGGGTGGGGGGGTCAAGGGTACCGTGCCCCCCATACGATTGGCCGTACCTATGAATGTATTTGATAAAATATTATTATGGATAAGCCCAATTTACTCTGTTCATAAATATTGATATTTTACTATCAATTACACGTTTGTTTGTTAAACAAAGCTTACATTTTTAAAAAGTGATAATGATTAATTTATAATGACTTTTTTGTGTTTCCTAACTCCCCCTCCCCATCACTATCTATTCCTAAATATGCCACTGCTTATGATTACGCGTATGACCACTAAATAAGAAGACTCTATATATATCATATAATGTGGTATTTGTTGTACGTGAGTACGTGACTGATATTTTATATAATATATAATATAATATGTTGTATTTTTATTAATAATATAAGCTTCAGGTCGAGTGGCACTGGGGCACTGCATAGCGACTACCCATGAACGATAATCTGTCACTTACCATTATTAACCATCAAATTTGCTTATTTATTATTATTATTATTATATATTGTATATAGCTAGATTATAAATAATTTAAATTAAAAAAATATGATATTGACGATATTGTAATTGCTATTTGGATATTATTGTCTTTTGCTATTGATTTAAGAGGTATCTCTCTATCTAAAAAATAACATAATACAGTGGATTATACGTCAAAATGAAAATATAAAGGTTTAATATAATTTTTTTTTAATGACTCCCTCAAGTAGACATATCATAATATTGTCAGTTTTTAGATTCTGAGCGGAGTGATGAATATATTGATTTCATATAATAATATGTGTTTTTTTTCTGTTATCTTTTTTTCACTTAACCAACTTGAAGAAATATGAAATATACAAGGTTCTTCATAGTTGTATTATACTGGAGTTTAAAAGAAATTTGAGGTTATAAATATGCTACAATTGTTTATGAGTGTTTGAAGTTCATGCAAAAATTCCTAAAATATTTAATATTTATACCTAAGATTTGAAGATTTAATACATACCTATAGTCACTCTTTAGTTGTAATAATTTTAATTTGTTGAACGAAGTTTCTCATTTTTTTTTTTCTTGGACATTTATATTGAAATGTAGAGCCGGAAATAAATTAAAAACAAAAAATAAGTGTTTTAATTATTTTATTGTATACGAAACTGACAACTTTCCCTTTTACATTCTTATATTATTATATTTTATATACCTACATAAAAACATTTTTTGAAAAAATTTAAGAATTTTAAGCTATTGTTCATTTAAACACCATTTTACAATGATGCTATACCCAAAAGTTTATTACGTTAATAAATTATATAAGATAAATATAATATAATATACAATTATCACAATTATAAATTACATAGGTATTAAGAATATAATGCATTGACTACATGTTTGACAAACATTTGATCAACCTGTCGTAATACTATATATAATATATAGGTAGTAAAATAAATTACTTTAAAAATAATATATTATTTTCTAACATAAATTAATTAATATACTTACTTACTTTWACCATCATACATTATTGGGCTGGCGAGTCATCGTTGCTCAAAATCTTTTTTTCGTATGCAATGATTTATCAATGAAATTAAATTTGACGCATGCATCTACAGTCAATGTCGTATTATAGCTTTAAGGAGTGYAGGAATGTGCCTAGGGATAAATTATGGAAGCGCTATTTTTTTTTWATATTGGCAGTTTATAACTGTTCATTCGTGTGAATATTTTTGGACTTTTGGTATACATTTTTAAAAACGTGTACCTATAGGGTCACGCTTGTCCTTAATCCTGATTAAGAACTTATTATGACTTAGTTAATGACGGCGTAGGTACAATCGACACCTAGRCCTGTACAGGTACTGTACCTATAATTAATAACTTTCTATTTTGGCTTTGCAGAGATAGATATGTCTGGGGATAGAAGGTTTTGGCYGTAATAAAGCCACAATTCTAACAGAATATTTTCTATTTTTAAATAAGTAGCTATATATATAAGATAAAATATGTTGAAATGTACACTAACCTAAATGTCACACAAATTATGTCCGCGGATCAATCGATTGATGCCACTTTTACTATATTACATAAGTCCAATATTTTATGAATTGCATTGCATTTGTAGCAGAAGATTGATAAATGTTCAAAACTTGAAATACAATACCAATGTATAAATTTAAATCAATATTGATGCATTAGAAATAGCCATGAGATTAAAAAATTCATCGAATATTATTAGTAGGTATTCCTGCTTAGTAGTACTTACTAGTATTATACAGTATTATGTTAAATGTATAAACTAAAATAAATAGGTAGCTATAATTTGTTATACCTTATAAAATATGAAATGATCAATTAAAATATTGGACAATCAACTARGTTTAACGAAACAAATAAATAAAGAACCAAAGCAACTGAAAGACATCGTTAAATATTTAATGAGGCTTATTTTAACTCATTATTAAAATTATTTTTTATAATCATTAACCTCCATTACTTTATTGAAAACATTTAGCAATTATTTTTAGTAACAAACACTGTATTGTATAACTATACAAATCAAAAATCAAGAATAAATTAATAAATTAATATTTACTGTCTATTCGAATTTTGAAAGGCTGTCGACCCGCATTATTAAAAATATTATGGCATSGGTGTATCTAAAATATTTATATTATGTAAATAATTTCAAAACTGCTAAAATAAATATTCATCATTATGTTTGCGGTATGCCCGTATTTTGAAAATTATTGTAAAAGGCTCGTTGGAACCAATTAAAAAAAAAACAAGTTAAAACTCGTTAAAAAAAAAATGTTTTCGATATTTAATTATTATTGCGTATTATTGTCGATTCATTTAAAGCTAGTGATACATAGCAAGTGGCCAAGTGCGTCTGATTTAATTGACAAACATCATTATTTTAATGGGTATAGTATTAATATATTATTATGTACCCGGTCGAGCAATAAAATGTTATTCACTTATGGACAATGGTTAAAATCCTTATTTAATTTTTACTGCTAATAGTTTGTTAAATAAATTTAATTATATGTGTAAATGGTTAAAATAAATATTAAAGGTATAAATATTCAGAAAACATTTTTTTAAAGACGTGCTGCAAGTGTATCATGACAATTGACAATAATTGCACTCTTCAAAGAGTGAGCAAACTGTTCCATAAGAAATTTATACAACTATTATTGATTAAATACAAGAAGGAATGATTGTATAAAAATACTTTGATATTATTATACTATTTATTTTTTTGATGAAACATGTGTAAAGAAGTAAAAACCATACACTGGATAGTGGGTAGGTATACCTAATACCTATGGAAAATTCAAAATTGATCAAAGAAAATCTCTTGCTCGTTAATAACAATAATAACAATGATGACTTTACATCTATTTGAAAAAATTCATATTATCATTGATTGTAAAGTGTACACATTACCGTATATAATAATACCTACTTGTTAAAAAATAAATACATTTCAAAATAAT